GGGGGGGGGGGGGGGGCAGGGGGAGAAGCTATGCTGCACTTCACATCTATGTCTCAGAGATGTTACTCTTATACATACATCAGAAATTAAGTTTCAAAATGTGGTTATCTCAAAATTTAAAGAGCAAAATGGAAGAGGTAAATATTTTCGTGCTTTGAAACAAACACTTCCTTTCAAAATTTACTACAGCAGAACTTTTGTCATTCTGCATGACTCTTGCACACACGCCCAGAAAGAAGAATAAAGCTTTTACATGCCTTACAGGATTGTCATAAAAGACTTCCAGGGCAAGTGACAGACTCATGTGAAGGAACAAGAAACTCACAATCAGCCTAATATAAAAGGGGAAGGTGTGTGTACAATAATAAAAAAATACACAAATAAAAAGTTCTACTGCAGTTCCCATTTCCTAAAAATTAGAACACTAAAGCAGTAAGTTTCAAGTTTATACTACTATTACATCAGATATATGATCCAGGATAGCATTATGTAAAGTTACTGTTTTTGCCTGGCACTCATTTTTGTTTATTACAGAATCATCCAAACATTAAGGGAAAAAAAAACACCCAGACAACAGTGTTAGAATAAGCAGCCCTGAGCACTGTAATTAAACCTTTAAGTAGATTCTAGAAAAAAAAAAACCAAACCAACATACTATATCAGAATGATAAATTTTGCTAGCTGCTCAGAGATTAACAAATTAATTTTTAGGTGACTTATTTTGTAGTAGCAGCCCAAAGAAGCTATGACTTTACTCAAACTTTAACAGTGAAGATGTATTTGCTTAGATGAACTAGGCTGCTACAAAGACTGATAAATACCTGCATTCTGTAGACATTCAGATAAATATGTACATAAAGAGATCATACAGTATTACTCAGCTTCGTAAAACAAGCTGGAGCATGCACACCTGTTAATAAATAACTCTCCAAGAATTACAGGTTAAGGCTGATACTGCTCATGAGCAGGCTTCTTTCAATACTGAATGCAAGAATATATTCCAGTGATTTTGGCTTGATTCTTAACACTAGCTCCTTAAAATTGCTGAATTTTAACTAGAAGAATTAACTGTAGATTCATGCATCACAACTATTAACTTACGTTCTTCTTGGCCTCAGTCTCTGATCACTGTATGGAATTAATGCTACCAGCTGATTTTCCTGCCCTGGAAACAAAAATATCCTTTCAGATTTAAACAAACAAAGAATACGTACTGTTGCAGTTACTTCAATCAAAGAGTGCCCCTTATAACTTCATGGCACCAGAAAATAAACACTAAAGATAAACATTTAAATTCCAGATAACTACCCACATACAACGCTACTGTAGCTTATCTCACTTTCTGAAATAGAGCATGGCTTACACAACATGCAGAGGAAAAAGACATCAAGCCCACAAAGACCAAAACAGTAAGAAATTCTGCCTCTGTGCTGCATTCGTGCACAGGAGGCAACAGGTCTCTGGCAGCATTTCCTTGAGAGAAACAGAGTTATAACAGCTTCCAGCTCTCTGTGCCTGTCCATATAAAGTCATAGGACAAAACATTCATAAGCTCAGGCAGTAAGAACCGATCCAGAAGGCATTCCGTATGTACTCTTATGAAAAGCAGAAGTCATGTTTGTTAAAAAAAAAAAAGAAATATGTATCAATTTAGGTGGCTTTGGCAACAGAAGTTACATAGATTGCACTCTGGAAATCACTGGTGTATGCAACCGTTTCTTGTGGGACTGAGCTGCAGCACCCTGTAAGTCAAAAAAAACCTATCTACTGGAATTTCTTCCAAGTAACGAGTTACTTCACTAGACAGTATTTTGAGAAGGGATGATATCTTAACAGTAGAAGAACACAAGGACAGATAAGTTGTTGACAATAGATGGACTACATCCACGTAGAGAGCTTTTGCTATTTGCCGTACAAGACGACAGAACTGCGATTATACATCTGTATGAGGCCTCAAGACCAAGTCAGATTTTCATTTTTTGAACCAAATGCAGAATCTGATCAGCATTATCACTTAAATAGTCAACCACTTTGAAGTGATCCCATGCTGAATCACTACGCTGAGAAAAGCATCAACCTTCCAGAAAACCTCTACCAATTTGAAACAGATCATCATCTCAGCATCAATAAACCACCTTCAACCCTTGAACAAAAGAGCACAGTCCTACTTTCATACTTTATCATATTGAAAACCTAAAGCTGTCCAATTACAGTGTTTATTACACAGTTTAGCCATCATATCATGTGTTAGTCTTCCCTACTAGTCATACAGCCATTCTGTGAACACTTAATTTTCAGACCTCCCCTCAAAACCCCCCAAATGATTTTTCTCAAGTACTGAAGAATAATTAAAAACCACAGCTGTTTTTGTTCTAATTCATTTAGAAATTCTAGCTTTAATCACACTATTTCATAAGAATGTATGGAGAACACGCATTTTTAACAGTTACTGCAAAATGTTTAATAATTTAACTCATTTGTTTAAATATTACATCCAAGAATTGTGTAGCCAAAGAAATAAGCTTTTGAACGTAGGAATCTGGCTATTACTGCATTCTAGCTAGCACTATTTTGAGTAAAACTTGCTATTAATATTATGAAGTGTTTCAAGTTAGCAAGCTAACAGAACAAACCTCCTTCTCTATAGTCTTTCAGTTAATTTTTAGATGCATAGCTTTTCCACACTTCAAATCTGCTGAAATCAGAGCTACTCAAAGAATACAGAGATCTAACACATAGATCTCTTACAATATTTGCAACCATTTAAATATCCTGTGCTCCCTGCCACTTACTGCAGGTGAGACAAATATTTGTGAGCTATACCAAAATCTAATCTGACTGAAGCACATGTAGAAGGACAACATGGCACAAATATCTGCCAATCTTCTCAAGCTGCTGGTCAAAATCAGTTCCAAGAGCTTTCACACCCAATAACCTATTTCAGACAAGAGTTATAGCAAAAGCAAAGCAGTCCCAAACATGAAACCTTCTCATCAGTTCCTCCCCCTACGTCAAAGGAAAGATTGTAGAGCTGAAGCAGAAGACTGTGCCTTGGCACACTGCATTTGCCACTCTCTCGTTTTGCCCAGTTTCAGGTATCCTGCATTCTCCTTTCAAAGGTCTTTTCGTAAATAGCTATTCAGATGGCTTATCATATAGGAGAGAAGTGCAATAAAGCAGAATGTTTTATTAAAAGGAAAAGCAAAGGATGAGGGCAGCAAGCAAACAAGTTAGGCATGAAGACTAATGCTGTGCAGCCTAATCCTTCCCAACACAACTAGAGATCCTACAAATTTTCAGTTCCCAGCTGCAGTCCTTTGCCTAACAGGGATAGATGGGTCAGAGGGAGGATAAGGGAAACTGAAGGGCACTGGCAGCAGGGAGGGCAAGAAAATTCACTATAAATGATCAAGGAAAAGATGTTATAACAACAGGTCTACTTTTCACTCTATTTGCAGCTATTTTTGCAGAGTTATATATAGATTCAAATAGTTTAAAGTAGGTAAAAAATGCAATAAAATATCACAAAAAATAAAGGTTTGCAAATTCAACTTGCAAGAACTAAGGTTACATGTGAATTTAAAGCTGAGAAGCAAGGAACACTGGCATTGTATGGACAAAGGAAGACCCAACAGGCAACAGCCAAAGCTGACTCAGCTTCTCTCTTCATCCTGTGTAACTGTAACAAAATGGTGAGGGTTAAAAAGTCTAAAAGATGAAAAAACTTAATCTTGACTAGGAGAGCTATTTTTATGGATTATTACAATTACAACTGCACATGATTGTGAGGTAAATTTATAGATTAAAAAAACATAAAGACAACTCACCTCGTGGAATTCTTCCTGTTCCCTGGCAAGTTGGGCAGGTGACACTGTCTCTTCCTGTAAATTCCACGTAGGGAAACTGTGATACATCTCCACATCTGCCATCTTCGTTGTGTGATTCTGAGTGAACTAACCTGTTCCTCATATTATCAGATGCCGTGCCTCCATCATAGCCATCTTCCTTGCATGTATGCATAGGCAGGTGAGAGAGTGATTTTCCCATGTCTAAAATAGAAGTCAGAAGAAAGTTCTCAGGGAGAACAATTCAAACGTGGCTTGCATTTATTTCTCCACATCAGGTAACTGTTAGTCTGTGGTCATCACTCCAACAAGACTCCTGTTGACCTCTGTTCAGACCCCTTAAAACCAGTAAAGCGCTAAGGTCCTGTCAAGCTGAAGTCAATCCCAAGCTCTAAGAACCTGAATTAACTGGGAGCATTGTTCAGGTCCTCAAATACGCACAGGCTGAAGGGGGATCAATGAGACACTTTTAAGTTAGAACAGTACAATTGCTGGCAAAAGGTTGCAACAGCCTAGCAGTGCTTTTAAAAGGATCGTTATTGTACAATCTTTTGCACAACACATTAATCTTTGTAAAAAAAAACAAAACAAGACTGATCTCTAGAAAGCAAGTTTGTAATTTCCAGAGGATTCTACACACCCTATAGACCCAATTGTAATAACCTTTTTAAGCTGGACTTGTTCTGAGAACATGAGATCAGCTACTAGTTTCTAAGCTAGAAATATAGATCTCCAGGTGTTTAAAGAGATGATTCTATTTAATCCAAAAGGGCATTGATTCACAGTAAGGTCAAGGAAAAAGTGGGAGTTACTTTAACATAGCTGTTGGCAAAACATAGCATTTATAAAGGCTTGTTAAGAAAAAGTATTAGTCACAAAAGCATTTTTGGTACCTATGCAAATTTTTTCGTTACTGTAGCTTTTCAGCCATTACACTGAAACCACCCAAAATCAACACACAACACTTGAAACTGAAGACTGTAATGAAGTGGTACAAGTGGAAACCTTCCTAATTCGCAACAGGTGGAAACAAACTCAAAGTTTTAAAAAAAAAAAAATCTATACAACAATGGCAATCAGTTGTCCAGCTTATCCACATAACACATTTTAGTTACTTAATACGCAGAAACACCAGCCATTCCATTCACCAGTGTCTCGGGGAACAGGATGATTTCAAGACAGTATGCAAAACTTCAGTTTTTCCATTGTAAGTGGCATTTTTAAAACAGCTGCTAGCAATTATCATGCCGGTTCACTGAGAAAGGAAGCCCTAAGAGGAAGATCAAGAGAGCAAACCAAGTCAGAATATTTTAAACCAACCACTCAAGACAGAACAGAAAGATCTCAAATACAGTGACAGTAACACGAGCACAAAGTTAATTCATTATATTGCCACAAAGGCTAGCTCAATGCAGGAGGGGAAAAGGAATTCAACAAATGCCAACAAGTACCCATTACCATTCCCACAAATATGCAGCGTTATTTTATTCATGTAATACATTAAACCCTTTAAAGAAGGAAAACTATTTATCCTCGTACTGCTACAGCACTTTTTAAACATTCTAAGTTTGGAAGCCATTCAATAATGGCAATTGTTGAATTTGTAACTACAATTACTGAGCTATTGAAAAAGTTTTTCTGAGAAAGCTGTTGACAAAGTCGATGCTTATTCCACGTGAGGTTTTTGCTTACTGTTCTCCTTGTAGCTGACCTACAGCCTTTAAGCTACGAAACTTGAGTCTTACAGCTTAGGCAATAGCTGTCACAGTTATAAGTCTGAACGCTTAGTAATCAGCTGGTGTTGTTGTGTTGCAAATGTATTCAACTTATCTGCTCTACTGATGGTAGGCTCAGGCTACGTCTACATTAAGTATAGAACAGCAACTCTGTAGATATAAACAACTGAGGAGCCAGCATCCACACTATACATGGCTTTGTGTGTTTATTTCATACTAGCACTTGTCCAGACTGACAACACCCACTCACAACTGGAATGCACCTTCAAGTTTTAGCTTCTTCCAAAAGGAAGAGTTCACACAACTCCCAGAACACACCGCGAGATGAATCAAAGCGCAGCAAAGATGACTGGAAACTCATTACAAGAGAATACTCTTTATTTGAATTCACGCAGATGTATCCTCCAATGCCAACTGTACTTCAGCTTCAATAATTAGTATGTAATAGCGTCATTCTACTGCCAGAGACTTAGAATAGACATGTCTTAGTGCACAACTAAGATAGACAGCCAACTTCAAGTTAAATGTGTTACTCCAAAATGCCCTCCCCTCCCAACCAAGCACTGAACCTTATTACAGCTGAACAAAACTCAAGAACACTTTGTTCTTTTATCCAGCATTTATATGCTGAACAGCAGAGAAAATACAATCTTCATATGCAACAGCCTCTATACTGTCGAAGTCACAAACCCTACTTCCTTAACAGCTGTGTTTTGACTCAGTCTCTCCCTCTTAACTGATGTATACACTCCAGTCTCCTTGGACTTGTCGGGAGTTTCCCTAATTTCACAGTCTGTTAGAAAGAGTTTGATAAACTAAACAATGCTGTAATAGTGCCTTCTGTTTAAGACTGTGCGCTTCAGCTTGCTATGACATTGCAGCACGATCGCACACAGACAAAACCCAAACCATGTCCCAGACATACAAAACCACCAGATCCCGAGTTACATGCAAGACTTGGGGGAAAAAAAGGTTTGTTTATAAACTCAGTGAAACTTTGTAGAGTTAAACTACATTGTTCTACTTCTCCAAAGAGTTCAGGTAGCGTTCTTACCCCTTATATGCAAACATGTAAACTTCAGGTTACAAACCTACTTCTTTTTCAAAACGGCAAAAGATTTGTATGTGCGACCATCTTCCGTTCTATCATTTGCGGCTTAACCGCAAGCATCGCACGCTCCTCCAAAACAGAGGAAGCTGCAAGACAAGGTGATGACTCGGTCGTCACAGCCTCCCTCAGCGCGGGCAGGCACCATTACCGCTGCCTTCCACGACCCCTGCAGAGACCCACCTCCCAGCCACCGCCCGCTCGGTGAGGATGACGCTGCCAAAAACGCAGGAGTCAACAACCTCCCCGAGACTGACGGATTTTCTCGCCCGCCAAGCCGGAGCGGCAGCTGCTCCCGCAAACATGGCGAAGTTTCCAGCCGGCGGCCGCGGACCGAGGCCCGGCGAGCTCGGCCGCTGCCAGGC